TTTTTTTTTTAATAATTTGATGTACTCTACATGTACAACTGTACAAGGCACGAACTCTAAAATTTATATTATATCAAAATAAAGCATTTTATGTTCTTAGACATGTTGATTGAGTGATCCCTTTATCCTTCAGTAAACGATAACAATAGATAAAACTGTGATTTACTATTTTTCTTAAATAATTATAATTAAATTTTCATCCTAATCATAGTTAAACCAGTCTAATTCCTAGAAAGTTATAATTTCCTTATCTGATTTTTATAATTTGTTTTATTAACATATTAAGCTTTTTATTCTTCTTTACTATAACTATATATTATATTAAATAAATAAATAAAATATTTAATAAGATTTTTTATGGATCAAATTTTGACAACATACTTAGCCCAAAAGATTGAATTTGAAAGAATTAAAATTAATTAATTAATAAATGATTGAGTTGTTAATCTGGTCAAAGTTAAACTAATAAATGATCGAGTCATTAATCTGGCCAAATTTTAACTATTAAATGATCGATCATTAATTTGGTCAAATTCAGATGGATCATAGTTTCATATGCTTATTTTGCAGTTCTTACTCTAATCCTCAGAATGCATAATTATATATTTTCCTAATTAAGTTTTATTTGCATAAAAAGATAAAGAAATAAATCAAACTACACCAAGAAAAATTAATTTTAGAAAAATTATAAAAGAATATTTGGAATTTTATTTAATAATTGGTAGATTAATTAATTTTACAGTGATAAAATCATTTTTCCTTTCCACAAGAAACTCCATATTAAGATAGCTAGGTACTCGAGTCTATACAAAAATAGCTTAATTGTACAAATGTATCCGCGAATTATACAAACATACAACTTAAATCGTAGCTACAGTCTATGCAAATTATAACTATGAAATATAATTAAATTTATTATAGTGTCTATTTGCCAAAATTTCCAGAGAATTAATTCTTTTGACCAAAATTAATTAGAGAAATTCTAATATAAAAAGTAGATTTGATTTTAACCTGTATTTTTAAAATTTTATTTTAATCCAAATAATTATTGACAAATCATTTATTAACTTAACCTTTAAGACCCTTACATGAGATAAAATTTAATAAAATCTAAGTAGATTTGGTTTTGATTCGATTTTTAAGAATATTTAATCCAAATAACTATTGACAAGTCATTAACAACTCATCTTTTAACACCACTATATAATGTTTTATAATACTTTGCTCCAAATCAAAGTCATTTTAAAAAAAATTGCAGAGCAACACAAAATAAAATATGGGAAAGCCTCTTATCAATATTTCAACATTTATTATTGTTGCTCTATTGCTAGCCATCATGGGTAATTATCCCTCTTTATTAGTATTATTATTGCTATCATTCTCTATCCTTAATTTATCACTAAATTATTTGTTATTTGATAGAATCTTTTCAATAAATCATTGTTAAATGGATTAGTAATAAATTTTGTTGTTTAACTATAAAATTTTTGTCATTAATTTCAATTATTTTTTATAATTTGCCATGTTGCTAATCATCATTGTTTTGTCCCTTCTTATTCTCTCTTGTCATAATTTATCATTAAAAAATTTATTATTTTATATAAGTTTTTAATTATTCATCGCTAAATAAAATTAACGATAATTCAGTCTATATGATGATTTGATTTGTTTAAATATTTTAGTTGCAGATGTTTCTTCCGGCAGATGGGAAGGGTTCTTTTGTGTGGAAAATGAGGATTGTAATTTATATTGTGAGTTTCAAGGTTTATATGGTTTTTGTATTTTAAATAGGTGTCTTTGCTTTGACAAGTTAAAGTTTGAAGGTGCTAAATTTGACAAATTAAAATTTGAAGTTGCTTTAGCACCTAATAATTGAGAATGTTGTGAAAAATTTTATTTGTATTTGATATTTTATGTTTACATAAATTAAATATGGATAAATTTTTACTATTGATTTTATTTATATATATGATGTTTCAATATCCTAAATAAATGTGGACTTTAAATTTTTTTATATTAGAGTAATTTATTTATTTTACTTAAAATGTATATATTTAATATTCAGACCTTTGTGAACTTTGTAATTACATTTTTTACACGATTTAAGCAAGACAATAGATACTTCAACGTTTTGAACACATAGAACAATAGTACCAAAACAAATGTCAAATCCAATTAATTAAATAAATTAACATATACGATCTTTTTTTTGTGTGACATCAATTTATATTTTCGTATTATAACTGTAAGTTATTTTGTAAAAGGCATAACATTATATATTTTTGACACCAATATAACAAATAATTTTATCGCAGTATAAATTTATATGTTGATATCATTATATTTCACAAGTTATGTCATAAAATAACATAACAACTTATGTCAATAATGTAGGTTTTTTTAAAAAATAAAAATTTGTGTTTAATTATTTTTACCTTCCGTACTCTACAACGAGTGTTTTAAGATAAATTTGAACATGTTAAAATTGACAAATGAAGAATCATTATACAATCGTGCACAAAATTTATTTGGATTGAATCAGGATGGCTAGACAATAAATCATAGTTGAATCTCTAATTCTTTAAATTAAAAAGTTATCATTTCTTTATTTGATTTTTTTCTATATTTCTCATTTAACATATTAAATTTTTTATTATTAGCCTAAAGATGCATTGAATTTGAATGGATTACAATACATTGAATTACTAATTAATAGTCGAATCATTAATACAGTCAAATTTTAAACGGATCATATTTTTATAGACTTATTTTGAAGTTCTAACTCTAAACCTCAGAATTCATAATTAAATATTTTCCTAATAAGTTGTATTTACACAACAAAAGGTAAGAAAGTAAATTAAACCACGCACAAAAATGTTACTTTTAGAAAAATTATTAAGTTGTGATTGTATTAGTATATAATTGGTAGATTAATTACTTTTATACTGAGAATTGTATTATTTATTTTTTTCGTTTCACATGAAACTCTTAATTAAGATAGCTAGGTACTCGGTTTCTTAATAAGTCATATTTACAAACTTTTATATGTCCTAATTGTTATAAAATTTATGGGAATATATTTACGTTATTGAGAAAATTATATCCTATAATTCTAAGTTGATATCTTAAAGCCTATAGGTATTAAAATTGGAAATTTTATACGAATTTTATAGTGTTAAGAGCTAATTATATTATATCCCTACTTTTTTTCAAATTACAAAAATCTCTTCTATTTGGTAGAATCTGGATACATTCCAAAACGTCTCGATACATCGTGTAAAGTGATTTTGAATACATAGCTCAACATCTTGATATATTGCGTCTCGATTTCGAATACACCACTCAATGTCTCAGTACATTGAGTACGTCTTAATACATCAGGAAAGTGATGTATCTGAGAATAGGAGAGAGATATTTTTGTAATATTTTTAAATGATAGAAAATATTAATGAATATGATAAAATAAGTGGTATATTTATGTAATTTTTCATTAAAAGTAATTGGTTTTGACCTACTTTTAATCTAGTCATAATTAGTCACCTTATGTGAGATTACATTAATCACAAATGGGGATTTGTCTTTACCCCTATATAATGTTGTGCCCCAAATCAAAATCAATGAAAAATTATAATTAATTAGTAGAAATTTCAGTGCAAAATAAAATAATGGGGAAGGCTCTTATGAAGTTTTCAACATTTGTTGTTGCTCTGTTGCTAATCATCCTGGGTAATTATCCCTATTTATTATCATCTCTTTCTATCTCTAATTTTTTCGCTAAATAATTCTCTATTTTCAAAGATTTTTTAATAATTCATCGCTAAATAAGTTAGTCATCAAACTTTATTGTTTCGTTACAAATTTTATCTATGACTTGTTATTTATTTAATTTATTTCTTGATAATTTATCGCTAATAAAATTAGTGATAGATTTTTGGTATATATGTGAAATGATAATTTGATTTGTTTAATTATTTTTAGTTGCAGATATGCCATCCAGTAAAGTGGTAGAGGCACAAGTGCAAAAATGTCATCATGCAAAAGATTGTACTTATTGTTTTATTCCAATATGTATTTTTCATAGATGTTTTTGCTTGTCCAAGACAGAATTTGAAAAGACTTTAGTACCCAAGAATGGTGTTAAACCCGAAAATTGATGTCGTGATAAAAATTTATTCGCACTCAATATTTTTGATTTACATGAATTAAGTGCGGATAAATTTTTATTGTTGATGTATCGACTCTTGATATGTTCGATCTTCTATATTAATGAATATGAACTTCAATATTATGTCATTAATTTCTCTATTTGATTACTAAATAAAACTTTTCATTCTTCTGTAATCTGTACTACTATATACATACATATATATATATATATATATATATATATATATATATATATATATATACTAGATGAGTGTTTGCCCGTGCAACGTTTAAAATTTTATCATAATTTTACTTCTGTTTGATATCTGGGGTCCATCAGTGTTCCAGGAGAGTAGAAGGGGTTGCAATACACAAAATTCTACAATACCAAAACAATTCACTTTACTCTTGAATCTAGCCATAGCTACACAATAATAGGAAAAAACTAAAAATAACAATCAAAACATCGAAAACTCGAACTTTATCTGGGGATTCATTGATTTTCCCCAGTAGAGTAAAAGGGGTTTGCAACAAAACACAAAATTATACAGTAGCAAGACAATACATTTCACCAAGATTCCTTAACCAAGATGAAAATCCCCTTCAATACTAAAATCTCAGTTTGGAATTAGTTCCATACATACGAATACATGTTAGCCATAAAACATTGTGGCTACTTTACATGTACATTTCGATTTCAAAAAATTGCGTATTTATAATGGATCTATAATTAATGAGTTTAAACACATTATAGCTGCCAAATTTGTTCATTAAATATTCAGTGAGATACTTACATAGTCTAACATTTCCTTATGTGGGAGTGCTAATTACATACATTTACATACTATTTTAAATTAGACAAAAACAGATGCATCTTTCATGCTTGGATTTTCTAGATCATCTTTGATCAAATCACCTGTTACATTAAAATTGAGGGATTAAATTAGACAAAAACAGATGCATCTTTCATGCTTGGATTTTCTGGATCATCTTTGATCAAAATCACCTGTTACATTAAAATTGAGGGATTAAATGTCACATAATCACATAATTTATACAACATAGAATGAGCATGATGAGAAGTAGTGAAAGAAAAAAACAAAGCCAAATGTTTAGAACTTAAAGCATGAATTACAAATGTATGAAATGAGATCTAAGTTAAAGAATAATATTATAGTAAAAGATTGGAAAAAAACAGTTGAGAAAGCATAGTGACAATATGACCAAACAAACTGGAACAAAGCTCAATAGGCTTAAAAAATGACAATACTCATCCAAGATTTTAACCCATATAGGCAAAGAAAATCTTGGCAATTCATAAGAAACAACTCAAACTATATTATATATAAGACTAAAGGAGCATTATTCATAAAGAAATTGATTCAAAATTGTGACGGTAATGTCAAAGGATTAATCAATCTGGACAAAAATTTATGAATTTTTTTTTATTTAGTTTAAACTTGTGTTGGAGAAATTTAGTTCAAGAGATTCACATGTAGATCTTGAGCAGATACTATATGGACATATGATCGCGACGGTAAGAATCTCAAGTAACAATCAATCATGAAAAGGTAGAAACCGAGTAACTGAACCAAAATTTTAACTTATATAGACAAAGAAAATATAGTATGATGCAAAAATAAAATCTGATGAAAAATTATAAGAATTCGTAAAGTTTATATAGTATTGAGAAATAGCATTGCAGTAACAGTGTTTGACCAAAGTCTATGGCAGAATTTGGATCAATTTTATTATTTTAATGAGACTTACTTCATACAGAAAGTGCTAATTGACTGATTTGGAGGGTAGGGGGAGAGTGAGCGTAACCATATAGGGTTCATCACAAGCAAAATATAAAATAACATAACATGTGCAGAGTATATAGTACTAAGTCTCATCTAGAATTAGCATAAAGCTTTCCCAAGCTTTGCATATAGTATATAGGATTATTCTCATCATCTTTTTCTAGATAGATAATGTGAAATCATGGACTGAACATTAATCAAGGATAATCAAAGTCTTTCTATGGTTGAAAGATTCAAATAATAATATAGATATAAGAGGATTAATTATATCTTGTTATTTTTAATTTAGACAAATTTGCAGAAGAAATATAAATCAAATAGGCAAACCGTTTTACCAAACAGGTTTGATTTCACAAGTTTTTAATTACTAACTGTTATTTCGTATTGTCGTTTTTGAATCTATCAGTTTAAGGTGGTTATTCCAACAAGATCAATAGAGGAAAGTTACATCATCTTTTAGGAACTAAAAATGAACTCAATAGTCTTTAGTCATAACAATAATTATAACAGCAGAAATAATATATTTTTATTTAAGTTGATAAATGGAGTACCTGTAAAAAGATAAATTTTTAACTAACCTGCTATTCTAGGAGAAAATATTTTCAATTTCCGCAAACGAACAGGAACATAAGGCATCCACATAGCAACATCAAAAGCTTGCAAAACACGGCATACAGTGGCAACATCAAAAGAGTGCAAAAAATGACTGTTTCGAGAATCACAACAAAAGTGTTCCAACTGCAATTCAAAACAATCAAAGATAATGTGTCTTGAGACTGAATTGAATTCAAAGAAAATAAATACAAAGAGAAGAAAATCCTATTTATATTAGTCAATTGCAAAGATGAACTTTTAAACAATGTACAAAATAATTCAAATACCTTTTAATTCTTTTTCATGGGAGGATTTTTCATTTCCATGCTTGGATATTCTTTTTCCCCTGAACTAAGATGTTCAATTGTGCGCTTTTTCGCATCTGTAATATTGACTATCGTAGATGCCATTGATTTATGAATCACATCTTGTTTCTCCAGGTAAGACAAAATGGATAATTTTTGTGTTGCATCCAATTTTTTTGTGAATAGCCTTTTTATTTGAATGTTAAATATCTTGCCGTTCAATTCATCTTCCACATTTTGGAGGGATAATGTTTCTTTCTGAAAAAATGGAAAAGAATGATTAATAATAACAAAATCATTAATATTTTATATATATTATATATAATAATAAGAAATAAAGCGAACAGACAAATCGAAAGAGATCCGATATTTTTACCATAAAAGAAGATGTTCAACAACAATATCATATGCAAGGATCATGAATTTTCAAATAAAAAAAAGTAGACGAGGAAAGAAAAGTGAATCACAAAAAAGATACTAAATTTGTTTTTAAAGGAAAATCATTATCTCTATGTTTATGTATTTACATCTGAACTCAAATTCAATATTAAAGGTCTTTCAACTAATCAGAGCCACACATGCAGCAGTTCTAAAACGGTGACGCCTATTGTGGTAGGTGCACATTACAGTTTAGGCATAAAGTTCTCAGCCAATGGGTAACTATGTAAGATGTTATAAAGAAAGTTAATTGTAAAGAGACAACAAAAAGTATAAGTTGGGTGATTCACCAGATATTTGTCTATTGAAGGTAAGTTTCCATTCCCTCATCATTTACAACATTTTATGCTATTTGATAAGGAACTGACGAGATATTGTTGGAAAGCTGTGAGCTCAAGTTCTTCCTACTATAAAGGTCTTCACAACTTACATTATACAAAATGAATCTTTATTACAAATTTTCTTATGCTAGAATTCTAAGCCTATAGAGCTATAGTATCCTTTTCAAGTTAAGGAAGTTATATGTTCACTTAGTTGAAACTCTTAAAAGTTAGATAGTATATTTTCACATAATTAAAGAAAGTAATTGGCCATAATTTAATTACATATATACATATATGATTAGTAATCTAAAAATAAGTAATTGAAAATTACATATCTTCACACGCAAGATAAGATTATTGCCTACTTTATAATGTAGGGTAGATATTTTTAGGATTACTACTTGCGATGTTATTATGTGCATTTAATTTAGACAGTAGTGAGTTAGAACATTTCATCGTAGATTCCTTTAACTGTTACAAGCTAGCGACATAGTTTATAAGAAAATACAAAATCAGAACAGGTTTTTTGTGATTATTTGGTGAGCAAAAAGTAATATGTACCTTGATGAAGCAAATTTCATAAATTTCTTCTGAAGTGAGGTGCAACATTTTCTCTGCAATTTCATCCGAAACAATAGCTATTGCAAAACCGCTGTTGTCCTTAATAGTAACTTCAAATTGACATCTGTTTTGATAATTAATGAAAATATTTTAAAATAATGGTTAGTTAAGACATTCAATTCTTTGAACAAACAAAATAAATAATCTTAATTAGTTATTATTAATTTTGTAGAAGAGCAAATATACCTAGGAATAAGATGTGTGGATCGGTGACAACTTGTGCAGTATATTTCCCTTCGCACATTATATCTCGTGAACAATTGCTTACAATTTGAGCATGCTAACACACTAAAGCGTTGATGCTTACTTGCAAGGGACAATTCAGCCTCAACATTAAATACTTGTCCCTTCAAATTGAATATACCAATATTATTTTTTACTGAGAGATTAAAAAAAATTTAAAAATAGAATAATATAGTTGTTGTTCTCATTGGATGTTGTGCCTGGATGTTAGCCACAGATATAACTTCATCCTCAAATGGAATCAACATAATAGAGCCTATTGGAGTTGTACTTTTCATCTTATAAGAAACAAGCTTCGTTTCAATTGTTTTGATCCTATAAACAAGTAAAAATACAAAAAATTCTTAATATTAGCTCATCCAAAATAAAAGAAATAAAAGTGAAATTTTAAAACTTTGTGATTGTAAGATTAAAGATGTTTTTTATATCTCAAAATATTCTGAAATTTTGATGCATTAAATAAAAATGTATATTACCACGTCCTTAACTCAGCAGCCTGTGGATATGGAGGATTGATTTCAATTGTTGTATTGAATTTGCTTGTCAAACCAACGAATCTATTCGACGTTCCTATGCGCATTTGAATATGTCATTTTAGTTTCATCATGTCATCTATTTTTCAATAAAGGAAAAAATAAATTTATTTGCACTTTTACCTGAGGATGATTTCCCAATTTTCCTAGCAAGAATGATCGGGTAATCATGAAGTTGGTTGAAAAGTTTAACTCCCTCATGATCAATAAAATCCTCCCAAAGTGTCAGTTTTGTTGGTTTTTTCATGCATATGTTTTGAAGGATGTTTTCAAATATTAAAATTGTAGGAGATATGTGATATTGTAAAAACATTATAAATAATAAAATTCAAATCAGATTATTATCAACAAATAACAGCATTTTTGTGCTATAAAAGTCAAAATATAAGATCCACGAACAAGGAAAAGAGTTGAGTTGAACAACGAAATTGATGAACTTTTTAATCTATCAAAGTACTACATGTATTCAAAATGATTGAAAATTGAGATTCACAGACACTTAGTTTCACTGATTGGGGATTGTGAAGAAAATGATGAGATGATATTAGTCTATGATTACATGGCTACTGGGCCATTGAGAGAGAACCTTTACAAGCACAATAAGCCTCCCTTATGATGGAAGCAAAGGTTGGATATTTGTATTGGTGCAGCTAGAGGTCTTCACTATCTTCACACAGGTGCAAGGTACACTATCATCCATAGGGATGTGAAAACTACAAATATTTTGGTGGATGACAAGTGAGTGGCAAAGGTTTTTGATTTGGATACTTGGATCCAGAGTACTTTAGAAGACAGCAAGTAAAAGAACAGTGTGATGTCTACTCTTTTGGGGTTGTCCTATTTGAAGTATTGTCTGGAATGTCAGCTCTAAATGCTAGGACATATAACATGTGGGTTAAGGGGAGGTAGAGTGTTCGCAAACTTTACCCTTCCGAGTACAACAAATCAAAGTAGGTATGAAAAATAAATACAGCATGACAAGAACTTAATATCTACCAGGAATCTTAATAAACTTGGATATCATTAGTTGTTGAGCAAAATTCAATTTTGATCTTTTAGAAATAACAGAAAATCATACCAGAGAAAACAAATCAAACAGGGCAACCAGTATATTTCTTTTTAATAGACATCTCCACAATATTGGGAAGTTAATTCATCTAAAATAAAAAGGGCAGGAACAAACCAGGAATAAGATCAATCCTTATTAAAATTGAACCTTTACTTCACTCTATTGATTGACTACAGTAGAACCATGAGAACTTTTTGAACCTAAAACCAATTGTTTATATACGATATTATTTAGCAAAAAGCAAAAAAAGCAAGTAAACACAGGAGTAACTAAAACATGGTATAAAGTAGGCAGATCTGCAACTTTCACATATCCAGATTCATCCCATAATATGTTTGCCATTTCACTCAGAAATTAAAAGCTTTCCAGACATTGAACAGGCTTACTTCAGTGACCAATAAACAAACAAAGCATGAGACTATGAAACAGCTAGAAAGACTTAACAGAATCAGTCTTCAGGTCTCAATGAATTATTGCATCAGGTTTATGTTTAGAATACAATTAAACTCCAAAAAAGTAGTAACCATTTGGAGAAGACAACTACAAAGACAACGTTATTGAAACTCGAAAGAATTAATCACTTTATTAAATACAAGTATATACATCAACTACGAAAATGGAAAAGAAAAAAAAACCCTATCAACCAAAAAGAACCTTTCTTTGAAAACAAGTAATAAGATATGAAGATAAATGACAAGAGTGATATTCTATATATACTTACAGCTTGTCCATGATAATAAACTCTTGAATTCGTTTTCCAATTGTAGTCTTTGTTGAAGGAGGCACTACCATTAATGACAATGGCGAGTACATCTTGCATTAAACAAAAATAAAGAAAGAATAATTAGATCATGAGAAATATTCTATTATAGTAACAATGGATTTTATGTGAATAATAAGAATAATTAAATAAATTTATAAATACCAAATTCAAATTCTTTGGGTTGATACTCAAAAGTGTCAAATGTGGTAAGAGCTAGTCGTGTTGGTGGTGATAATGGATCCTGTGGAGGTTTGACCTCTTCAACTGGTTCAACAATGGTGTTTTTATCGAGTGTCTAAATGAATTTGTTAAGTGAATTTTCATATCCAAGAGGTGGTACTTTCACATGTGCAACAGATACCAAGTAAGTCTTGAAAGGAGCAAATTCTTTTTCAAAATATGTTATATCAGTACTGTAAATAGTGGCCTGAACTTGATTCTCCTGTAAAAGAATTTGTAAAAAGTTTGATTAGTTGTGTAAAAATTTAAAAGTTATTTTATTATTTTTCATATTATTAAAGTAAAAATATAAAATAATGGATTATTTAGTTAACTGAAGTAAAGTTACGATTTTAAAATCAATAATAAATTAATAAAAATAAATACCTCTTTGTCTTGCAGAATTAAGACTTGGTATTTTGTAGTTTTATCTTTGTTGTCCCTTGGTCGACTTTTATCAACAACTTGGACTTTACAGGTCCAATCTTTAGTATCGGGAGTGATCATATTGATGGTATATCTTTCCGCCATGTTGAACTATCTGCAATTAAAATACATTATAAGAGGATAAGCTAAAGGTAAATGTATAATGAAAGCAATATTATAATATAGATAAATATAAGTAAGTTGTATATGAGATTTACCATTGTAAATTAAAGCACAAAGTTCAAGAAAAGGCCTTTTCAATAATTTAATTGTAGACAACATTATATGTCGAATGATCATCATTTTCGTCAATTATAGGTGGTCTAATTAATACTTTGACACTGTGAGAACTTGTCGCTCTTGATAAAGCAACATACAAATGTCCATGAGAGAAGATAGGTTCGCGTAAATATATACCAACAAAATCTAATGTTTGTCCTTGAGCTTTATTTATAGTCATGGCAAAACATAATCGTATAGAAAATTGTGTTCTCTTAAAAAGAAGAGACAATTTTTCATCTTCTGAATCATGAGTGGTATTCGTGGAATAAATACATGTGTATTTTTAAAATCACCGCTAGATATTGTTGCACTAATAACATGAGGTTTAAAATCATTACATATTAAGCATGTCCCATTGCATAAACCTTCACAAGGATTTAAATTTCTTAATAACATAATCTGACAATTTTTCTTCAAAGTTAATTTGTATGGAGGTAAACCAGTAGGATTTAAAGTGTGTAAGAAATCTTCATATTCACTTTGATCCTTTGGATCAATAGTTTCATCTATAGTAACATACACTTTTTCGGTGTTTGGAAATTGAGAGATCAACATGTCATTTATTTCATCAACAAAATCATTTTTAGTTGTTAGAATAGCACGAGAAGTAATAAACGAAGTTTTTGTACAACATGTGTATAAATCAGGATAAGTATTTCTAAAGAGAAGATTTAGAGATTCTTTTTCAGAAGTAAAAGGAATAATGAGGGAATGAGGAATTTGAATTTTTCCATGGTCATTTGTTTTTTCTTTTCCATCACCAATTCTCATTAAATATTCACAAAATTCAGGATCTTTAGTTGCACGCATATTCTTCGATAACTGTAATTTTTCAAGTTGATTCCAAATTTTAGAACACAATAAACTTTCACGAATAAAATCTTCTTTTTTTTCACTACGAACAATCGGAAGAGTTTGTCTGAAATCACCACTAAAAACAACTATTTTACCACCAAATAACGTATTTGTTTCCATTAGATCTCTTAAAAGTAAGTCAAATGCTTCAACCATTTTCTTTTTTGCCATTGAAATTTCATCCCACACAATTAATCGTGCATCTCGTATTAAAGATGCTAGTGAACTTTGTTTACTAATATTGCAAGTAAAATTTTCATTGACATCAATAGGAATTTTAAATCGAGAATGAGCAGTTCGACCTTCGGGAAGAAGTGAAGCTGCAACACCAGAACTTGCAGTTGCTAAAGCTATAAATTCCTTGTGTCTTATTGTAGCTAATAAAGCACGATATAAAAAACTTTTACCAGTTCCACCAGGACCATCAATATAGAATGCTCCAAATTTATTTGACAATACTCTATCAAGAATAATATCGTAAGCCATTCTTTGTTCAGTGTTTAATTTATTTTGTAATAATAAATCTTCCTCACTAACAATGATATTTCTTTCGTAATGAACTTCTTTAGCTTCTCTTGCTATTGATGAAGGTTTGATATATTCTGAAATTAGTTCAAATTCATTAATGTCACGACCCATCGAATGAAGAACATCATTAATTCAATTTAATACTTTATAACGTATTTCTCTTACATTTAAGTTCAAACTTTTTTTGAAATCTTCAGACATTGGGCTTTCAAATCTTTCCCATAATTCTCTAGGATTTGTTGGATTACAATAAATCAATAACATAGCAAATAATTGTCTTAAACTGAATGGCATTTGATAACTTGCAGCTTCAGACATGCATTCTACCAAATTATTATCACAAAGTAATAGTTCTCTTTTTTCTGCAGCTTCCCTAAATGAATTATATTGTACTCCATTTACAGTTCTTAGATCTTCATATGATTTTGGCCCTCTTACGTTCATTAAAAGAAGTCTAAGATAGTATCTTTCTCCCTCGGTTGGATGACATATCACTACACGTCCAATAACATGACCTCGTTTACGACGTGTCCACATTTTATCTGTTGTTGACCATACAAAATGTTCTGGAAATTCACAATATAATAAATTTAGGTCCATAGCTTCTTTATTTGATTTATTCATTAAAAAAAATCCAGTCAACATTGTTTTTCTTATCATGGGATTACTTGCAATTTTATTAATATTGTCGGTACTTTTGAAGAAAACAAGTTGTTGTCCATCAAGATGTAGTTGTAGATGATATACACTTGGACTCATTTCGCTAATAGGAAAAGCGAATATTCTCCATGCAGCTTCAGGTGGTGATACCCACCTAGCAGATTGATATTCTTTTATTTCATCAATCTCTAGGTTTACACCATTAGTCTGTATATGAAATGCTATTTTATCATGTCCTTTGCAAATATATTTATAAATGTACTTAACAACTTTTATATCCGAACAAATCTCTACATTTATATGACAGTTGAATTTACAAAGTAAATATGGATTGTAAGGTACAACTCATGAGTTATCAAGAAAGTGTCCTCTAATTTTCACACTTTTTCCTGTATTTCGTCTTCTATAAATTGGGTATGAATTTTTTCCTTTAGTTGTTTGTTCTACAA